GGGAAAAGAGTGTTTCTTTCATAACACATAAAAAATCCTTATATTTGCCTTGATAATGTCCATCAGAGTATGAAACGCATGTAAAAAAAAAAGGTTTTACTTTTGTCTTTATTCATATACCTAATTCCTGGTTAAAACTCCTCCCCGATCTTTTGAACAGGAGTCGAGGTTTTATCATTTGTTTCTTGTTTAGGGTTTGGTTTCAGGACAAGTGCAGGGCCACTCTTCACCGTCAACTCAATACCGCCGACTCATCACCGCCGATTCAAAGTATCTGCAGGTTATGCTACTTGGCTCTGCCAAATTGCGCACTAGGAGGCGTTCTTTAGGTCTATAAAAATATGCAATCATATTTTCGTTCTTCCTCTTTTTATTTCTTTTTAACTCATGCTTTCAGATGTAGTTGATGTCGTTAAAGAACACTGCCAACTAGGCGCGTCTACTTCTTTGGTCCTCTGTTGACTTTTGAGCTCTATCACGCATGCACATGCACACAAGTGTCTATCACACACGCTTGTTTCACACAAAAGAAGCACATTCTTCTTATAGCTAGTTTTAATTATTTTTTCTTTTCATTATGTTATGATAGGTATTCTCTGACAGAGGTAGTCTCGTAAAGAGAAAATAATTCTCCTGTAACGAGACTGAATCCGAATAGATCTGGTGATTCACGCTCATCTTATAATCGCCACAAATTCTCAAATCTCCATTGAGCTTGCGTATCACCTACAATGGGTGAAGTCCATTTGTTACCACCCTGGATGACTTTTTCTTATATTCCTTGTCCCATCATTTTGTTCAGCTTGACAACCACTAAAGGTAGTATGTAAAGAGGAACTTTTCGGGCTTGAAAATACATGGGTTGACGACTTTCTTTAAGCCCAATACTCACCTTGTATCCCTTTAATAATCCAATATCCAGTTCTACAGACTTCATGGAATTTATCAGCTTCGATATATCCACGTCAATTTCTAAAAGACCGTGGCTTTTGATGCTTTCCACCACTATGATGGGTATTATCTCGAATCTCTTTTTTGTCTCAAACGTGCCTTCAAAGCATCCTAAAATTTTGATGATTGACCCATCGAACTGTTTTAACTGGAGATTACTTTTCTTTAATTTTGGTTAAGTCATTCTTTCCCAAATATTCCTCGGTATCAACCTAACATCACTTCCAGTCTACATCTGCATGAGTAAAGTTACTCCGTTCAACTTTACTATTTCCCTACTTTTATCCCGTGCTTTTATCTCAAATACTTCCATACTTTTCCCACTCGCTTTTCATACGTGCATACAGTCTGGAAATTATTCCTCTTATTACACTTAAAACACCATTTCCCAAAACCCGAACATTAATTTTTTATTTCATTTCCTTATTGCAATATCTGCATAGAAGTAAGCTTTTAGTAGTACTGTAAGTCTCCATGCTGTCTTCGGGGGCATTCTATTTTTTTTTTTTTATCAATTCCAATTGTTGTAAGAACTCAACACATGCTTCCAGATTCATATTGGGAGCTTGGAGCCGCTCTAGAATTTTACACTTGTACGCGATGTCAAACATTCCTTCAATGAGTCTTAGCACAATTAGTTTGTCTTCGATAGACATTTGTTCCGAAACAATTCTTTCGAATTCACACTATCTTGACGCTTCTCTTTCAATCGCTGTATATATTGCATAATAGTTTCGTCCCGTCTCTATCTACTTTCGAGAAATTTAATTTTTTCCGCTATAACTAATCGTTTTTTTTTGTTTGTTTTTTATTTTTTGCTTTTTTTTTTGTTGGTCGTATATTTGCTTTTATGATGACAGCAATTTCTTAATACGCTATAATTTAACGCTAAGATTTAGCGGCTAAATCTTTCAACACATTTGGGATAGACTATGGACGAGAAAACTAAGTTATGGATTTGTTTTTTTTTGTTTTTTTGGCCTCGTCCACTAGCTTTGGTGCCCTTCAAATTTAAAAATTTTTTTTTTTTTTACTATCACCGATGCTCCGAAACCCATGAGCCAGGATCCCCCATCGTGGTTAAGTAACCGATCAGCGTCGCCATATTGTTATGATAGGTATTCTGGAAAATTCGGTAACGGAAAATTCAGTAATTTTTTAACATGGTAGCAAAATTCAGTAACTATGAAATAAAAGTCGATTGAAAATAGGGCCGTTCTGCAGTTGGAATTTGGGGGCTAAGCACCCCTCCCCTATATTTTTAAATAACTGAAAATCGGGAGGTCCAGATAAACCCCACAACAACAATAGCAGGGCCGTATTTGCAGAACGAGGACTTAGGGGGATAGGCCTCCTTCCTCAATACTTTTTAAAAAGTATTATCATCTATGGGGGTCTAGATAAAACCCCACTACAACGATACCAGGGCCCTCCCCCCACCACCACCATCACATACGTCTAAATATGTATCAACTACGCAGAAGTTAAACAAATTCCTGCTAACAAATCAACATATTTTCTCTACATTCGAGAAAATTGTATTACATAAAACAATCAAAAGGTAGATAACTTCTTTGATCACAAATTGCATTCAACTTTACAAACATTTTCTACTTACATGAACAGTAAATTTTTCTCTTGCAATTAATTAACGGAATCTTCAATAACAGATTCTAACAAACATCCTTTCAAATCAGAACTCATTAACAAAATTTAATCTTTCACCAAACTTGAGTTCAACATAAATTTAAACTAACAAGATTTAACCTAAAAAAATCCACTAGATTTTTGTAAAATATTTTCATTACAAAAATATATTGAAAATTACTTGTTATTCAAATATTTGCTTTCTGTCTTTTATCACAAATGTTTCTTGTTGTTTTCTCTTGTTATTTTAGCATTTTTGCTTAACATATTCATAAAGTAAAAAATTGTATGGATTGATTTGGGCCGTCAACACCATAAATGGTAACCACCAAGCTTTCCACTACAATATTCTATTGTTTTCAAGCAAATAAAATCGATTTATCTAAGTTAAATTTAAGTTCTTGTATTTTCTTTGCAAATTATTATTTTAATAAAAAAATTAGTAAATAAATTAAGTCTTAAATAGTTATTTCTTTTTAAAGAAGCAAAAACTATATTGCCCCATTTTTATTTAAAAAATATGAGAGGGGGCTTAGACCTCAAATCCCCACTCCAGAATGGCCCCAAAATCTATTTTTAATCGACTTTTATTTAATAGTTACAGAATTTTTCTACCTTTTCAAAATTACCGAATTTTCCGAAGTAGTCTCATCAAGAGAAGGCAACTCTCCCCTAGATATAGCGATACTGTCTTTTATCGTATCTAAACACATTACAATTGTGTACACATGTAATCCCTTTTGTTAATAACATACATTGTCGATTGTTTAAAAAACAAAACAAAATGCAAAACAATGGATATTGTGGTAATTATCATCACCATCATATATACAAATCATGCAAACAAGCATTCATTGGTTAATCTCCTCAAAACTAGGTCACTGATTGGTCAATTTCAACCAATCAGATATCCTGCACATGAGAAATGAAATTTCCCGCTCACTAAGGTTTGAGCCAGTCACATGATACACCGCCTTATATAAACAAAACACGTGTAAGCTCTCTCTCTCTCTGTTTTCTCTTCATTCATCTTATTCCTTGCTGCCAAGATGTAATCTTCAAAAGCTCCTGTTTTGACCATGCGGTCAGACGTTAAAGAACATTACCAATTCACGCAAATACAAACTCTTAACTCTTCTGAACTCTTACGAACTTTACCAATTCATATTTCCTAACATGCAACAGGAACTTTATTCTTCTAAAACTTCAGTTTAATAATTATGAGCTCCAGTACAAATATTTCCAAACCTAAGAGACATAACTCATTCAAACCTTCAGCTTATATGCATGTACATCAACACTAATAAATTCAATTGTTATGTTTTGAATCATTACGTTGTCTTGTATTTTATACTATGTGCTATTTTACGTCAAATATAAATTGCATTGTGACCACTACAGGTTTGGTAACCTACAGCATCTTTGCGTGACCTTTTCTATGTCATTCCAAGTCAGAAATAAATAATTGTGGTGATGCACGCTACAATATAAAACAAACTACAATGCATGTTATTAAAAAAAGCAATTACAACATGTGTACGCAATTGGAATGAAAGATAAAAAAAAGGATTAAAACTAGCTATGAGAAAAATGTACTTGTTTGTGTGCATGAAACAAGTGTGTGTGTGGAAGACACGTGTGTGCAAGAGAGTTTAAAAGTCAACAGAGGACCAAGGAAACAAATACAATTTGTCAACAAAGGACCAAAGACTCAGACATGCCTAGTTGTCGGTGTTCTTTATCAACATCCATTCTATCTTGTAGCAAGAGTTAAAAAGAACTAAAAAGAGGAAGAGTAAAAATACAGTTGCCTATTTTTATAGACCTAAAGAGCACCTCCCTAGCAAGCGCTTTGGCAGAGCCATGTGGGATAACACACAGATCTAAAGAACTTATTTCTTTTTTAGGAATTGAAGGATTTATTTGATTTAAGGTACTATCAAATTTAAAGAAGACACTCTCACCCCAATTATTTCCTTAAATCAAAGTTTTACTGTATTATATATTGCAAAATAAAGCTTCCTAAAAATAAAATATTCAAATTATCCTATTGAGATCTCAAATAAAAACAATAATTCCTGAATGTTTTTAAATTTAATTAATGCTTTTAACAAATAAAAAATTAAAGAAAAATGAAACAATAATCACTTAAACAGTTGAAAGAAAGAAGTCGCTTATAACAGGAAAAGTTCTTCACATATATTTAAAAGAAAGATTTTGTAACCAATAATTTTTTATGAGTTGCATGCTTTCGTAGTAGGTTTTAATAAAAAGCAATTATGGCTTTGTAAGGAAACTGAAAAGGTTATTTTTGTCACTGCTAAATCTGTTTCATTATCAGGGTTTGTTTTGATATGGAAAAGGTCATTACCAAGAATTAGTGTTCTGACATAGAAGTCAGTCTAACACATCATTTTTTCAACAAATGGACATGTAAAAACATCCATGGATTGCTTTTCCAAATGTTGCATGATCCTCCCAATTTCACTGAGAAACTTGGTCTGGTTTTCCATATGAGAAATCAACAGGTAAGAAAGCTGAAAAAAAAATTATTAAAACAAATTTTACAATATTGTAAGTTTGAATAATTCTAATAAACATAAACATAAATATATTAATAAATAAATTTTGTCTTTATTATAAGTTTACATCAGGGTAACCTGTCTTTATTTCTGAGGGGAAGTATTGTAACTATTTAGACTATTTACATTGTTTGGACTATTGTCCTTATCTTTATTGTCATATTCCCAACATTTTGGCGGCTGTAGGCTCCAGCTTTCTTCAGGTGATATACATTAGAATTTTGAACCAAACCCTTTATTTCATCCACTGGGGTAGATTGTTCTAGTTCCATGTCCTATGCCTCTTCTGGATATCTCAGTGTCAGTTATCTCCCTTTAGTTACTCAACTCTCCAAGTTTTTGTTAACATCTGCTGTGGCCAAGTATTGATCTCATTGGATTACTTCAACCATTGCTTTTATCCATTGGGGACATGTGTCCCCAGTGGATAAAAGTGTTGGTTGAAGTAATCCAGCAACTTAACCTAAAGAGTTGTGAGTTCAATACCTGGCTACAGCAGAGGTGAACAAAAACTTGGTGTGTTGAGTTACTAAAGGGAAATAACTGAGATATCTTGAAAAGGCATGGCACATGGAACTAGAACAATCCACCCTGTGGATGAAATAAAGGGTTCAGTTTGAAATTCTAACCTATATCACCTGAAGAAGGCCAGTGTATACAAGACCGAAACATCATAAATACGACAATAAAGATGAGGACAATAGTCTGAACAACGTAAATAGTGTAAATCAGTGTGGCATTTTAAATGAGACGGTATTAAATCAGGGCAAGATGAAAGAAATACAAGTGAATGATTAATAACAGCTGACAAAGTTTCATCTGAGCAATTTGTCATACCCATAAAGAAATACATAAATAAAAAAATTAATTATACTCTCACAGTGCTGTGTCCATAAAAAATAAATAAAAATTAATTGTAGTTTCAAAAATAATTATAACAATAATAATTATCATTAATTCACTCATTCTACACCAGTGAGAATTGACCCCACTTTTCTCCTCTACGCACACAAACACATGCCATATTTACTATTGGAGAATCAGTTCAGACAGACAGGTCATTAGCACGTAAGTCAATAAAAATTTTGTCTCCTTTTCCTTTTTCAGGCCATAATAGTAAACTTTATTTTTTAGCACTGAACAAAAATTCGAGGTAAGAAAACCCCAGACACTCTTGTATTCTATAACTAAATTATCTGGATATTCATTACAAACATCTATAAAAAATATATATATATATGAGAAAAGCTGTATACATTTTGCTTATTCTTTCTCTTATTCATCTGTCAGATTCGGATCCATATTTGATATACATTTGACTGCACACACAAACTTTTACTCAGTATTACTGTCTGTCATTTCTCCAACACCACATAACAACCAGATAATAATTAATACTTGTTTTGTTGTTTCCATGTCTTTTGCAGTTTCTCATCTTTATGAGTATTTTTGTATATTTACGTTCTAAGGCGCATTACGGGTGTCCGGCAACCGTGAACGAAGGTCAGCCATCTGCTTCGACGGACTTACGCATTTACCTTCTAAGGCGCATTATGGGCGTCCGGCGACTGCGAACGAAGGCCAACCAGCTGCTTCAACGGACTTACGCATTTACCTTCTAAGGCGCATTATGGGCGTCCGGCGACTGCGAACGAAGGCCAACCAGCTGCTTCAACGGACTTACCATTTACTTGGAAGCGGACTTACGAACGATTTAACCTTCTAACTTACGCATTTACCTTCTTTATGGGCGTCCGGCGACTGCGAACGAAGGCCAACCAGCTGCTTCAACGGACTTACGCATTTACCTTCTAAGGTGCATTATGGGCGTCCGGCGACTGCGAATGAAGGCCAACCAGCTGCTTTAACGGACTTACGCATTTACTATCTAAGGCGCATTATGGGCGTCCGGCGACTGCGAACGAAGGCCAACCAGCTGCTTCAACGGACTTACGCATTTACCTTCTAAGGTGCATTATGGGCGTCCGGCGACTGCGTATGAAGGCCGGTCAGCTGCTTCGAAGAAAATTATGGCATTTACCTTCAAAGGTGCATTACAGGCACCCAGCGAGGGTGAACGAAGGCTGGGCAGCAGCTTGGACGAACTTACGCATTGGGTGAACAATCCAACACTTGGCAAATTCTGCTTCGCAATAATAGGAAGAGCCGGCAACGAAGGATCAAAAAGCGACGTCGCTACGAACGCCTGGCCATCACATGCCAGTTATCCCTGTGGTAACTTTTGTATATATAAATGTTAGAATGTTTATAATTATTTACTCAGTTATAACTCCCCTACAAATTCAAATGGTGGTGTTGTTTGACCTTCATGCTTGAAAAAAAGAAAAAAGAAAAAGGTGTGTCAAAAGGACAGTGATTCCCTTGACACAATTATTATTATATAAACTTTTGATTTCCTTGGCAATCTTTATTTACAAGATTATAAAAATATGTGAACCTTTTACAAAGACAATATTCATTATTTACCTTTTATAAAGATTTATTATTTAACATTTTATAAAGAAAAAAATTTGGAAAAGAAATCTTTTTATTCAAAAATTTATAAAATATTACAAAATTATCAAAATATGTAAACCAACAGCGATGCAATATTTATTATTTACCATTTTATAAATAAATATGAAAAAATATTTTATTCATAATTTTATAAAAATATCAGTGAACTATTGTTGTCAATGCTCAAGAATAAAGAAAATGTCTAAATCCACTTTCATATGTATAGGTTTTATTAAAATTCTAAAAATCATTTTTAAAAGAATAAACATTATTGAGGGAGTCATAAGTGTATACAGTAATAGTGGTGTCAAAGGAATAACCATCCTTTTAAAATACTGTTTTATTTTTTTGTGGGCAGAAAGATTAATTGCCCAAATAGCATTATGGCAGTTATCTCCCTTGAACACATATGGCAGTATGAGTAGTTGAAATAAAAAGAAACTAAAAATTACTTGTCAAAATTAATAATAATGGAAATAAATATTTTTGACTAATTTTTCAGTCAGTCGTATTTTTAATAACCCCTAAGATTTGAAACAGCATCTTGTATTCCTAAGAGATTGTTTGATAGTGACAATTCTTTACTGACTAAGCTAAAGATGGCTGTCAACAGGTTAAAATCAAATTTAGTTATAATAGACACATTCCTCCTAACTTGATTTTTTTCCACATAACATTGCTTGTTTATGCATAGAAAGGGTGGATATACTCTTGTGATAAAAAGTGATATTAAAAATAACATGTTGGACTAAGGATTTCTTGGAAAAATTTATGGAGGCCAAAATTGCTGGGCAATGTCTGAGCAAGAATTTTTGTTTTTTACCTGCAGAAACATGTAATCTGACCACTTGCTGGCACACTGTTTTGGATAATTTTTGTTAAACTTCACTGTTTCAGAATTGAAATAGTGAAAGTTGATTATATGAACAGCTTTATTCTACTTTTGTTTAATGCTGTTAGGTTACTTTTTGAGTGTGTGTGTAGGGGGGGTGCCAGACATACAGCTAATACCTATGAATAGGATTTCTTTTATTTCCATGTAAGGCAGTATAATTCTTTTTGTATAGCAATCCTACAGCTAGTACAAAGCTGTACAAATGAACAACTTTATTCTATTTCCTGGTAAGGTTCTATAATTCTTTTTGGTAGGCCAAACCTACAGCTAGTACAAAGTTGTACAAATGAACAAATTTATTATCTTTCCAGGTAAGGCTTGATGATTCCTTTTGGTATGCAAGTCTTACAGCTAGTACAAAGCTGTACACATGAACAAATTTATTTTATTTTCATGTAATGCTGTATAATTCTTCTTGGTATACCAATGTAACAGCTAGTACAAAGATCTTTTTTTTTTACAATGATGTTTGCTCTGTACTTGGCCCTGGTTCTATTTGAGGTTAAAAGTTATAAAGTAAGAGGCATATTTTATGCAGATATTTGGGAAAGATAATGGCTAACCATAGACTTGAACAGGTTAAGATTGTAGTGTCGTGTCCACTAAAATATCAAAGACAATATTTATAAACCAATCACACTCAAGAAAATACTTACATCTTAAAACACACCAATAAAATCAAAGAATACATATCAGAAAGTTTGTTGTATTAGTCATCATGATTTAGGTAGATACCACCAAAATATTGTGCAGACATAGTAGAAGACATACCACGTGGCTTTTTAGGGTCAGTTAGGAGGAAATAAATAATTTAATTCTGGAGCCGATTTTGTTATGAAAAATGTATAAAAAAACACATAAAATCCGGCCCCAAACAGGATACGCACAGCTGTCACCAAGTTCCATGCAATCTTTTATTTATGATCTTCACAACCTCATGCTAAAAGTGACAGCATTGACAAACTTCAGACTACGGCAACACTGCCAACAGTAAGAAACAATTTCTATCTCTTATAGGATACAAATCCTATATCATTCCAACAAATGACTAAAAAACACAAAGTAGATTTGCACACCCGCAAAATCGGATCAAAATGAATAAAAACAGATTTCGAAATAAGGTGTGAAATTAATTTTCTGATCAATGAAAGGAGGCGATTTGCTAAACTAAAATAAAGATAACAAGCCAGTGTGAAAAAAAGTCAACAATAAATAGAGAATTTCAAGTCAATCACCAGTCAGAAGGGCACAGAGATCATAGAGGACAGAAGACTGACAGTCAGGTCTGTCACTGACTCAACCCGACACTAAAAGCCGAAAGTGGAGTAGGAAAGGAAAACAACAACAACAACAACAAATTTACAACTGACTCCAAAACAATTCAACCCGATAAGTACATTTTCCTCTTATCTTTTATTTCTCATCCACACTCTCTTTTTCAACTTAAATTGATCGCCCCTTTTTCCTTTACACCTATACAAAAACAAAAGAAACAGACATTACTCTGCTACTCTGTTGAAAGACAGTGAACACAGACATTTTT